CCTTTAGTACATTTTCCAGAATTCCACATATTTTTGGCGCATATCAAAAATCAAAATCCTATATATATATGTGTGTGGTTTTAGTTTGTTATGTTAATTAATAAAAGTGTTATTACCAAAGTCACTGAGGCCTCTGAGGCAAGAGCTAAAATGTCAGAGCAAGAGACAACTCCGGGGCAAGCATTCTCGAGAGCAGTCTTTATATTATCCACAACATCGAATCCTCTTGCTGAGTTTACGTTCGGTGCAGCGTTCTTCTCGCTCTGGACGGTCCCTGTGTCGTCAAGTAAGAGCGACCCGTCACAACCCTTTTCAAAAAATAAAGAAAAGCAAAGTAGCGGTTTAGTGTAGCATAAAAAAATCAAGAAGATTATCTTAAGAGCTTCTTTTACATTAACAAAGCAGTCGTGAAAATGAAGGCGAATGAGACTGGCTCCGATTCTAGGATCGGATTGAAGAGCTTGTTGAATAGTGCTGCGAACGATGGTTGAAGCGTTAGGGCAAGTCCCGGAGTAAAACGTTGCGTTTAACTGCGCAGATGATGTCCCGAACAACGAAGAAACGATAACCAAAAGGCTGATGATGAAGAAAGCATCACAAGAAGTAGACGAGCTTGTTACAGCCATTAATAAGCTGTTGCGAATTATAATGATAGCGTTTTTGATTAGTTTTTCGTTATTTTACTGATTGAAATCCGAACTTATGATTAATCAAATCACTTAATAAATCTTTTATATAGAGGATAAAAGCTGATTAAATCTTGCCTGACTATGAATGTGAAAGATTTTAACTTAAGCAAGATAAGTCAAGGTGCGTGTTTCTTTGCTTACCAAGTCATTATATGAGAAAAGATGGCCCTTCTAGATTGTATTTAGTGCGTTTTTGGTTGCTTAGTCATGAAAAAAATTATAAAGTTAGAGAGTCTACAAGATTGGTTCCTTATTGACGACGTTCCATGGAAAATAAATAATCTCTGTTAGGGCTTTACAGCTAACATAAAGATTCATAATTAAATAAGTATAATGTCTTTTTGGATGTTCGAGTTCTAGACCCAATGGAGAATTTCGCTACAATTTTTTTTTTGTGATGGAGAATGTTGGAGCAAGTTGTATAAAGCTTCTTGACGACTAATTTGATTGATTGGACCTATATATTTAAGACAAAATGCCTTCAAACGAAAGGATTTTTTTTTTTTTGTTTGGTATTGCAAGCCGAATCGAGGAAAATAATGATGGTAGCTTCAATTTGAAACAAC